CTGAGCTGTGGGGAATGCTGCTTGTGACTGGCTGCCAACAGGATTTATTAATTCTGTCCACCACTTGTCTTTTCACAACTGGATTTATTAATTCTGTCCACCACTTGTCTTTGTGCTCAGTTGTCCAGCCAGTTTCTAACCCAGCAAAGCATGTGCCCATCTAAGCCATGCCCAGCCAGCTTCTCCAGGAGGATGCTGTGGGAGACGGTGTCCAAGGCCTTACTAAAGTCCAGGCAGACAACATCCACAGCCTTTCCCTCATCCCCTCCTTGTTCACCTGGTCATAGGAGATCAGGTTGGTCAAGCAGTACCTGCCTTTCATGAACCCATGCTGGCTGTGTCTGATTGCTTGGTTGTCCTCCTCGTGCCATGTGAGTGTACTCAAGATAAACCGCTCTGTAATCTTCCCTGATACCGAGGTCAGACTGACAGCTCTGTAGTTCCCTGGATCCTCCTTCCAGTCTTTCTTGTAGATGGGTGTAACATTAGCAAGCCTCCGGTCAACTGAGACCTCCTCTGTTTAACCAGAACTGCTGATAAGCAATGGAGAGTGGTTAGGCAAGCTCTTCCACCAGTTCCCTCAGTACTCTCAAGTGGATGATTTAATTATTTTCTAGATAAGGAATAGAAATGGTACGATTCTTAAAGGCGATCTAAGGATCTTATCAGTTGGAAAAACAGAAGAGAAAAAAGTGAATGTAATCTCAAAAATGAGAGAAGGTAACTACTCTTCTTTCGTGCACTTTCCTTCTGTATAGGAAGGATAGTCCTGTTTAGAATCTTAAATGAACTTCATGGTGGAAATCAGATTGACGCAACGCCTGTTTCATGGAGACCTTCAGTTGATTTACTGTGAGCATTAACTGAGCATTTGCTTAACTGAATAAACTGGAGACTGACCAGAGATTCATTTATCAGCTAACATCTGTAGTACCTTAGGAAGGTGTAGAGCTGTTGCTAAAGGAAGTAGCTATTCTTCTGTTTTCCAAGTGAGACATGAAATGAATAGAGCAGAGCTCATGATCTCAAAACAGAATGTCAAACGTATGATTACAACCTTGGTTCCTTAGAATAGCCTTTGGAGTCCTTTGACCAATGTTGACCAAATATAGCAGTGGAATAAATGTGTCTCACATCCAAAGTCCTTTGTAGGAGCACAGCGCTCATCTGTTTGGATGGTGCTCTGTATTCACTGGTTTGTTGACCCTGGTTTTGCACCGTACCAGATGTAGTACTTGTGACAGGGATCTGCAGGTGATGTTAGATGCAAGAAATGTTGTAATTTCTCTTGTCTGTAGAAAACTTTTACCTGTAGTGTTGAGGTGGGAAAACACATATAATATTAAAAACACAGAGCAGGATTTTGTCTTGAATCGCTTTGATTTTGATGCTGAGGGGAAAGCATACCAATCCAGGTGAAAGCAGTGCAAGATTAAAACATCAGTCCCTTCGAGTGTAATGCCCAAGTATACGAGCTGAAGGGGATAGCAATACTCAAGTTGAACATCTGCTAGCTCATCAAAGGTGACTTCTGAACTGAAGGAACAGAGAGTTAACTGATATGGCACTTTAAAATGGGCTGAAACTACAACTTGTAGTGTGATTTTTGTTAAGGCTTTTTGTGTTGGGATTCTTTTTCCACCCATACAATACAACAGTGCTGTATTTTAGTAAGAAAGGGGATGAATAGATTTAATTATTCTTTTAATATGTTGACTCACAACAAATTCCCATGGCAGGCTACAAGGATACAAAAGAAACTACTTCTAACATAGAAACAGTTTGTGTTGAATGAGAAGTACCTTGTGCTTTAAACTGCTTGCTGCTTTAACTGTTCTATGGGAGTTGAAGCTTAAAATAATCTAGCTAACATTGCAGTGTTCTCTTACTTAGCAATATCACTCAGCTATGTGCACAAATATATTGTGAAAATGTGAACAAGAAGTTATCTAATACAATCTTAATTTGAAACTTCAGGGGAGACTTAGCTTCAGCTTTCTTCTGGGGTCCACACAGAAACCTGTGAGGGTGCACAGTTGAAGATGAACAGCCAGGTGTGGATTGGAAGAGTGGGATCTAAGTAGCTGTGTAGTGAGTACAAGGAATGAAAATTTGCCGTAAGGGATAAAGCAGAATTCTATAGTGTGGTTTCCAACAACACCATGGCATAGGCACAGAGCTCAGTTAAGAGGCAAACTCTGAATTGCAGCATCATTTATGATCTTTCTTCTCCGACCTTAAGCACAGATGCCTCTAGGATCTGCCCTGAGGCCAGCTGACCAGGTATGACTGGCCTGTTGGTTTATGGGGTAAAAAAAATCTGTGGAATGTTGTGCTGTTTAAACTGAAGTGCTGCTAAAGGGAAACAATGAGCTAATTAACTTTCCTTTATTTATTTATTTTTCACCAGAGGTATGGAGAACTTGGTGGCTGGTTCCACCCTTCCTCCGCTTTTTGTAGATGAAGATGGATCTAAGGAAGGTAGTGAAATTACTGTTACTGGGTAAGCAGCTACTTCTTTCTCACCTTCAGCCGATACATACTATCTCTAGACTCGCCAGGGAAACTGTTTCAGTGGGAAGAGGGCATTCGAAGTATTTTACAAAACCAAACACATAAAACAAATGAAAACAACTCCTAGAGCACTCCCTTGGCATTAATAGGACATCACAGTACTCTATTTGGGAGAAACCAGGATTCTTTGGAACTGATGGAAATTATCAGAAACTTGTTTTTAATATCTGTTATTTTTAAAGCTTGCTTCCTTAGGATTTTAGTCTTTAAGACAGATTTAGACATTGACCATTTTAGACATGATGACACCAGAGAGAAGGGTGTATCTATTGGCTACAGTGGTCCTTGCTAAGTAAATTGTTTCTATTACAGATATACAGTTCATCACTGATCTCTGAAAATCACTGAGAAACTGATGTCTTTCACTTTTATCAGACTGACTCTGCTCTTAGGGACTGAAACAATGGCCTCTTTTAAAAACACAATGACAAAAGAAGTTGCCTTTAAGGAATACGCAGGAATCTTCCTGTGTTTTGATACTTGAAGTTTCTTTGAATGTTTTGTAAAGCACCAAGAAATAAAATTCAGACTTTGCAGGCAGGTAAAACACTGTAATATTAATATAGACACATGTGCTTCAAGCAGGTTTGAATTCAGATGTACGTATCAGGGACTTCAAACTTGGTAGTGCCAAATGAGGTACATGTTAAAATTAGGTTTGTGTTTTAGAGGTATTTGTGCGTTGAATGAGCTTTCATCAGCTTGTGATGCAAATGGCTACATCACATTGAAGGTTGTCCTCTGGGTAGCTAGTTAGTTAGTTCGCTGCTAAGGGATAACAGATAGGGAGGCTGAAATGTTCTTCAAACTGGAACAGTGATTCTAAGAAACTTTATTGTTCTACTTTTTTTGACACTTACAAAATGTAATTAACTTACAGGAGTGTGTACACTTTGTTCCCTTTCTCCCTCTAACTGTTAGTAATATGAACTCGATCTGATACATGAAAGTCAGGCGTGGATATTTCCAGCCCTTCTGTCTTTCCCAGTAATTTTGCTGCTAATGCTGGTTATAGTAAATAATGAAAATATGCTGTTCTCTCTATTTAAATAAAACTATTCCTATTGGCATTCAACTAACACTTCTGTTAGTACAACTCAGTTTTCTATAGCTGTATTCTACATCAACAGGAACAATTATTTTCAATATTTAAAATCTGGCATTCATGTAAGTGGCTGTAGATCTGAGTAAGTGAACAAATTAGACTTGAAACATAGAGTGCTGTTACAGTAATTTTCATGACAGTAACTAGGGAAGGCCAAGTCAATTTTGGCATGGCTCAAGAAGGGATTAGAATGAGAAGAGCTGCAAAATCTTGTATTAATTTTCCTACTGAGCAGAGTAGGGGCTGTTCCCCAAAATATGACCTCATCTCTGTCTACCTGTCTTCAGAAATATTTCTGCATGCTTCTTATTTCTCTTTTTGGTCTCCAGACAGCTTGCCCTTTCTTGGAGTAAGGTTGGTTGATACAGCTCTTGCAGCAAAATTCAATAGTGGTCATTCAGGAGTCTGCTGGGAGCTAATCATGTTTGTGTTTCAAATACCCACATGTACCAGCAGGAGATTATGTTGAATGAAGTTCAATCCAAAATCATACACAAACATTTAAGTGTATTTGTGGAGAAACATATCGAATGCATCCAGAGAGGTGTGTACTGGTTGAAGATTAAACCATTCATTTCAAATTCCTGATGGTATTTTTGAAGAAGCGTAGATTCATGCTTTCTGATTTCTGATCCTAATGTTTACTTGGCTAACAATTATTTGTATAATCAGAAGCTTTATTACAAATGAAACAAAGCAACACTTTAAAAATCAAACTGTCTTTGAAAGTTCGTAGTAACTATGGTAGTTATAGCAGTTGCTTGGATGGAACAGCCAGGTCTTAAAAAATGACTTTTTAAAATACTTTTTTTCTTGCTAGTGTAAGAACTGAATGTATTTGCAACATTTTTGCATGTTTTAGAAGATTAAGGAGGATGTGATTTAGCAATATGATGATATATAAGTTTTTTTCTCTTGCTATTATGTGCTTTTACAGATTAGCTCATTCTGAGAGTTCATTCAGTGGTGGAACTTCACAGTCTGTGAATAACCCAGATTCAGTGGAGGATTTATCACAGGGTCAACAGCTGCAAAATGAGTCCTCTAATACTGCTGAAAACACAGAGCAGAAGCCTGAGGAGGAGGTGAGGTGAAACAATAGCGACTTCTCAATAAAGTAAAACTAAGGGATTTTGTCACTATATGTTGTTTTACTCAAATTTTTTTGGATAGGACCACAAATTTTCATCCATTTGCCATTTTCATCTTTTGATCCTCTCTGGTTTTCTCCTGTGTTGCACAACTGCACCCAGATAGCCAGGGAAAGCTGCCATTTGTGATGTACAGAGAACTGAAGGTTGACATGAAAGTTATTTTGGTTTTTTGATAGATACATTTGATATTCCTCTGGTAGTTTGTCTTCAGCTGCGAGGTCCCTGTTTAAGGAAGTCGTAAGATTCCAGAAAGGAAACTAAAATGAACATGATGGCAGGAGCATGTTGATTTGAGGAGAGATTAGAAGTACTGAAATAGTTGTATGTACGTAGCATAAGAAAATGATTTCCAGAGATTGCTGTGGTACTATTATGAAGCCAAGAGGGTGAATGGTAATTATGTCATTCCTGTGAGCTCATAGTGTGCCACAGGCAAATCTTATAACGTTCCCTCCTTTGGAGTATGTTCATCTCTGTATTGGAGGTGATTAGTGGGGAAGAAAGCCTATAGAGTAGATTAGAATAGAAAAACTTATATCCTGTCTTTTCACCTGTATTTTGGGCGCTTAAGGCACAAAGGCAAAAGATTTGGAAGGGGTATGTGAAGGTGGGAATAACTTTAAAAAGAAACAAAACAGAATCAAAACCAACCAACCCTGCCCCCCCTCAAAAAAAACCAAAACCAAAAATATTTGCAGTTGCATTAACTAGGATGATAATTTCATGGGTTATCAGTCCTCATGGTTTTACAATCAGGAGTTGATGCAAAAGTTATTTTATTGTCCCTGTGGACCAGAAGATATTACAAACAACTTTTCACAATGAGACATTTTGACTTTGCTTAGATTAAGTCAGGATTGCTCTAAAGTAAAGTTTAAAACTTAAAGCCATGGAGAGGATGTATGGCAGCGATATACTCCTGATGAAAATGTTTGCAACATGAATATTTATTCCTTTCAGGGGTGGTAATTCTTTTCCTTCAATGTGAATTTTCTTCTATTTTCATTTTGCAGCAGCAAAGAACTAAACGAGGAGGCTGGGCCAAAGGGAGAAAGAGGAAGAAACCCCTTAGGGACACCAATGCCCCCAAATCTCCCCTCACAGGGTATGTGCGATTCATGAATGAGCGTAGAGAGCAGCTTCGAGCGAAGAGGCCTGAAGTCCCTTTCCCAGAGATCACCAGGATGCTGGGCAATGAATGGAGTAAACTGCCTCCTGAGGAGAAACGGGTACCATTAAACTCCCTTATCCTTGTTGGATCATGATTAGTGTTAACTGGGAATATTGTTTTTTAGTGAGGGAGTTAACACAGGCTTTTGATTAAAGCTGTGTTTAGGAATGTATTTCAAAATAAGGGGCATAGGTCCTCCAGAGTTCAAATAATGAACCCTGGTAGGGCCATAGCATCTCATCCAGAGGGGAATGCTTTGGTGAGACATCCCATGGATATGCAGTTCATCTAGTTGTAATTCTGTTGTACCTAACCTCAGATAGAGTTGAAACCTACCAGTTTCCAAGGCCAAAGCAGTTAGAAGGATGAGGCAGGCATTTATTCACTGTGGCTGAGGAGAATTTGGTGAGATTTCACCACATGCTTGAAAGATTTTGCTGTTCTGTTTATTTCACAAACTCATTGATGTGTATAAACACCTGGTATCTTAGAGTAAGACAAGCAGATCTGAAAGGACAGATTGCTGAAGGACATGGTTAACATTAATAAACTTTTAGACAATGCTTTAAACTATTGCTCTCCCTAGAAAGGAAACTGAGATCTGTATGGTGGACAGGACAGTGAGAGTTATATACTCCAGTTTTTACACTCCTTGTCTCAGGAAAAGGTTGGGTTTTTTCCTCACATTTCAGTCAGACTGTGATTCTTTCTATTTGGGACTACTGTGACCTTCTGCACTGATACATGAATGAAGACCAAGGCAATGATGTGCCTTGTTCTTGAACTCCTGGAGTGGATCTTGTTATTGCTAATGGCTGTCTTACCATCCACACCTGATTGCCAGTTAGAGATTACAGCAAAGCAGTAGTTAAATCACAGTGGAACTTGATGCTATCATACAAATTTATCAGAATACTTAAGCTTTCCAAAATACTTTCAGGACAAAATAATAAAGCTTTAATGATGGCTGCATGAAAAAATGAGCAAAAATCAAGAGCTGCTTTTGTTGCTTTTTACTAAGCTTGTAGAATACAAGTTATACAGAGATATAAAATGGCACATATGCATAGCATTTTAACCATAATGGAAAATGTCTGTCAAGGAAAAACAGTTGAATTGGCATCGCATTTGTATGAAGAATGATGTTGTTGTCTGCTGGAAGAGGAAGGCGAAGAGAATGAGATATTCTGCCCCTCTACCTCCTGCCCTGAACAGATTCTTATCATGTCCGTGACAGAACAGTTATTTGAACTCAATCTTCTTTCTCCTAAGTTAAAAATCTATGTGCTACTTTTAAAATACCCAGGGAACCTGTCCTTGCTTGACTAAAGCTGTGAGTCTCTAACCTGTAGCAGATCAGGGAAGGCCTGCTGAGCACTTCCTTCCTTTCAGTTTCTCCTGCCCTTTTTATTAAGGCAGTGAAGGCCACTGCTTCTTCAGAACCCTTGTGTCTAATACAGCAGCCCAGTGTTCTTGTTGAAGCTGAGTAAGCTTGGTTTTGGTCAGCTAACAAAGTCATTCTGCTGAAGCAAGCAGTGGAGTCATAGATACTTGCTGCTGTGTGGGTTAGTGTCCCATAATCCAGGACAAAAGCATGGCTGATCTCCAGCAATATTAGCAAATGAGCTGTCTGATACAAAAGTTGAAGGGAAAGTCTTGCATTTGTACTGTTCCAGTCCTGTAGTCTTGCTGCTTCCCTTTGTATTTGGTGAGCATAGAGACAGGTCAGATGAGCTGACTGGACTGAGTCTCCCCCAGAAAAATACCATTACTATAATCACGAAGCAAACACCCAAATAATAATTCTTCTTGTTATTCCCCTGTATGGGGAAATATCTAATGAAATGTATAAATCCATGCCAGAAAACCTATGAAATCTTCTTACGGCTGGTGCAGCAGCACTCATTCTTACTGATTTAAAGCACTCCATCCAAAACACAGGTTAAGGAGGAAAAACTTGTTTTGTTTTTAACAACTGCTACTCCCTTTCAGCAGCACATTGCTGGAGATGAAAAAGAAGAATGAATGTCATATGGAAGAGTACAATGCCCCAAAGTAGTGCAACCCAGCGTGACCAAATTGGCACCCCAATTCAGAATATTAACAGTGCTCTCAGCAGAGTCAAAACGACGTTGCAAATGCATGGAATTTATAACTGTTACGTGTATTGTCATGAAAACTTAATGAAAATGAAAACTATACCAGGTGACTAAGGTTCACTCTGATTTAATGCTTCCATTGAATCTCAAATTTAATTTTCCTTTTTTCTTGAAAGGATCCCATTAGTAAGTGCTGTGACCACTCCTCAAATTATTTTCAATTTATCTTTTCCTCTAAAGAATTTTCCAGTTAAGCTCATTCTGTTATGCTGATGTGTGAAATATCTTCAGTCTAGAATAAAAGCTATTTCTTTTAACCTAAATGCAGATAGCTTAAATTGATATAACTTATTCTCTCTTATCTTTATGCTACTCTTTTCCAGTAGCCATGATGATTGTTCATTTTTCAGATGGGTGAAGTGCTGGCTGTAGAATGGTAGTGCTTCTTGCCTGTATTGGAACCCCAGTTATACACCTGAACCTTAAAGCAGGATCTGTTAAGGGGTTCTTGTTTGGTGACATTTAATCTTAATCCCGGCCACAAGGAGGCAATTCTTAAATATTTGGTCTGTAGTGTGTGGGTAATATTCACTTGAGTTGAGTAGCTTGGTAGCAGATTACTTCTAGGTCTAACAAAAAGAGTTAACAGAACAGTGATTTATTAAAAAAAAAAAGAGAGAAAAAGGCACACCAGAATACAGTAATTTTATCCAGAAATCTTATGTCTTTGCATCTTGCATACATTCTCATTGTTTCTTCACTCCTTTCCTGTTTACATAGGTGAAATGGATCAGCACTTCATCTGACAAGTTGTTTTTCTTCCCTTCCTCCTGAAGGGGAGGAAACTCCCTGAAACTCTTGGACTTTTTTGTTTCAGCGATACCTTGATGAAGCAGACAGAGATAAGGAGCGTTATATGCGGGAGCTGGAGCAGTATCAGAAGACTGAAGCCTACAAAGTCTTTAGCAGGAAAGCACAGGACAGACAAAAAGGCAAATCACACAGACAAGGTATTGAATAGGACAAAAATGTGTGTCTAGCTAGAACAACAGAAGATTCCCAGCTAGTCACGTTTTAACAAGCCTTTAAATCAAAGGCTTTAAATGAGTGTCAGGCTACATGACTGTGTTTCTCTCTGTGGCATTTGCATCAGCTGTGTGTGAAGTGATTAGATTTATGTAAATTTAACTGTATCTAGATTGTGTTGGAGGATGTGCACTTAAAGCATCACAGAAGCATCACTGTGTAGACACAGCCTCTCTATGACCTATTAGGAAAACTGCACAAGTTTCCTGTCTGTAGCTGTTATGTAATTGTGGTCCTGTAACTGCTTCAATTCTTTGGTTCTTGTTTTCTCAAATCTTGTGTGTTTTGGAGGATTTCTTCTTTGTTTTCTTTTTTTCAGATGGAGCAAGACAGCCAGCCCATGATCATGAGGTAAACCTCTTTCTTCTACACTTACATCAGTGGGTAGATTTTCAGATTATGAAAGTTTCTAGTGAAGCCAATAAAAACCAGTTTATGTCAGTTGAAAACCATAATCAGAGGTTTAGAGTATTAATTCTTTGTCTTCCTAACTTTTTGATCAAAATCTAGAGACAACTCAGTACTCTTATGCTCACAGTATTATGATGGAAACTAAATTTAGTAAGTCTTGGGCAGGTACAAATGATCTAAGATAAAGTGGGAGTGTAGGGTACACTTAAAACATAGATTTGTTTTGTAATGTCTAATAATCAATGGGTGCACGTCAATATAATTGAGCCTTCAAGTATCTGGTGCGTTAGAGGTTCAACTTGCAAAATTTTTACTTTGAAAGTTTTCGAAGCAGAGAATTTTAATTATTATTTGATAAGTAAACATTGAGGTAAAACTTACAAATAGCTTGAGACCTAGATAAACCTTCCAAGTTAGCACCTTTAGGATGCTGTTTTGAGGTACTAATTTTCTGCAGCAACATGAGTGCTTGTGGCTTCCTTGAGAAGAAAATTAGTAAAGTAACCAGATCATTGGGAAATCTGTGGCTTAAACCTCCTCCTGGCTGCCCCACTGCCTTGCATATGTAAATACTGGAAAAGAGCAATAATGTCTGGAGATAAGATGCCTTTGCTTTAGTTGATGAGACATCACAGATCTTGTGCATCCTGGCGGACTGTGGTATCGCTCCCCTTTAAGTGCTGAAACTTTCTCTCTCCGGTTGTATTACGAAGGCTACAGCTTCTGTCACGGTTAGCCATAAATTGCAAACAAAAAGCAATGAAAAAATCTTGTTTATACACAGCCTCTTCAACTTGTAAGCAATAGGTCTTTCTGAAAGATGTTTTTCTTTCTGAGTTTTTTTTGTCTTGGGAAAACAATCAAGTTGGGTTTTAATGTGTTCATTACAATAGTGACAAGGCTGTGCACTGCTGAGAGGCAGCTACTGCTCTTGACTAAGGGAAGTAAGTTTCACTTGCAGGAAAATGCTTTGGTAGCATGTTTTCAATATGTCTTTTAATGAACTCTTAAGGGAAGTACTTGCAGTAAGATTAATCTTAAGAGTATGCGGTCCCCAGGATTTATAGTCACTGAATTTAAGTTTGTCTTCAATTGTGCAAAAACAGATTACTGAAAGCTTTAAGTTCTAGGCTGACTGTCACATTTACATAACCTTTAAATTATACAGATGGCAAACTACAAATTCAGAACCTTACCTCTCATCCTTCTAACTCAGGCTGTTATTGCAGAAATACCACATCATGAATGCAGTTTAAAAAGTCCTCCATACCTTGTGGGGCTTTTAAGCTTCATTAGAGTTATTACATAGTTGAGCTAGCAACATGTTAGGCAGGCATCCTCTTCTGAGGATGAAGAGGAAGCCTGCACCTTTGGCTGCTTAGCATTTTTCACCTTTATATTATAAAACTTCACATGCTTATCACCTGATACGCTTCACATCTTTTCTGCCAGGAAGTTGAGTGTAGCAATCCTGCACAGGCAAAGAAGAAGCAGAAAAGCTTTAGATTGCTTTTAGAAGTATATATTCAAGTTGTTTCTGAAAGCAAGAATAAACCTTTTGTTGTCTTGCTGTTTTCTCGTCCATGTAGACTATTATTATTGTGCTTGTGATTAGTAGGTAAGATCTGATTAAATTATTTCTTTAGAGAATATAAGGATATCAGGTTTTAAGATATAAAATCTTTCCTTTTCCCCTTGCTCCATTTAGGTGTTCATGATTTAGTTTCTGTGAATCAGTGTTGAAGTAATTCTGAATGTTGTATATAGAGATGATCGCCAAAAAGTACTGCAATGAACAATTCAAATAGTAATTATAATACAAAATAACAAAAGAATGAGGCTTGAGAAGGTGAGAGGAAACCCTTAATAGGCAGATGTAGCCATGAAAAACATGGCGACAGTGTCTCAATGAGCTCATCTGAAAAAACATCTGAACATTCTTCCTCTAAATCCTAGTTTCATAAATGACATATAACAATATACACTGGAACCATTAATTGTCATTAGTGCTGACCAAATCATTGTTAATTGTTCTTCATTGTTTGTTACTGCTTCTTTCCTCAAGTTGTCTGATGCAGAGTAGGTCTGGCTTCGTGCAGTCAGTTACACAACATCTTACTGGCAAAGTTTAGAAGATATATACAGACACCTGTCAAGGAGTTAGTCATTGCCTGGTGGTATCTACAACCTTTGAAGATAAGGAAATTGCTGCTGTAACATGAGCAAACAAGAAGAAAATCATCCACTCTGAGAACACTTTGAAGTAGTATATTTATTATATATGTTCCTTACATTGTTTGCATCTGACCATACAAGGAAAGATGAGCTCATCTTTCTCTTTACCATACTTCACCATGTCTCTAAGAACTTCAGGTCTGATTTGCTCTGGAGCCTCCAAAGATCAACCTCAGTTTTAATAGCCAGATGAGAATGGTATTATTTGTTGACTCTCAGGAAGCATCTCAATCTTACTTAAAGTGAATGCCAGCAAAAATTTTGGTTCTCTTTTGATTTGAGGGATGACAGAATGATATGCAACCTGAGCAGACTGGGCCTTTTCAATAGGAGGTAATCAAAACCGTATGATTTTAATCCTGAGTGAACCTCAGAGTTCTCATTTACATGCTGGGTCATGTATTCTGTAATGGAACAGAGCTGATGGTTTTCAGTATCACTCTTCTATTCAGTATAATTTCTTGATGGCCTTTCAGAAGCTGAACTGTTTCATGTAATCACTTCAATATTTTTGTTTCTTTGTTTGGGGGTTTTTGTTGTTTGTTTGTTGTTTTTTACCTGAAGAACCTGTATCCTAGGACTGCAAATAGACTATCCTCTTCACAGCACCATGTCCTCTGCTGTCTGCTATGTATTCTGTAAGCAGGTTTCGATGTAGATTCTTACAAATCGTGTTTATATACTTTCTTTCCATTTGTGGCAGCACCCATCTAAATGTTTCAAAAAGACATATCTTCTATTTTGGAACAGGAATATGGAATTGGCACACTGTGGAAAAGTTGCTTATTTTTCCTTTGGCTGTTCTTTCCTGGCTGTTTTCTTTTTCACTTTGGTGGTAAAAGACAAAGAACCATGAAACTTACTGTGCGTTTTGCTTGCTTTATTCCTTCTGATGTTCCTGTATAGGCTATTTCAGAATGTGTTGATTGATAGTGGGGTGTTTTCCAATGGAAAATATAAATGAATTCAGAAGTTTTAGAACTAACAGATTCTGTTGTGTAATGTCACTAGGGAGAGAGGGTATATTTTAGTATGTTATATGATATTTCTTGATAATAGTATTTGGCCTTTAATAAACCTGTATCTTAAAAAGATGAGACCTACGTACCTACCTTTTGGTCTTCCTTGGTACGTGCTGCAAGTGTCCATCTATCCAGCTCTTTTATCTGCCTCAGTTTTTGGTCTCCCTTTTCTTTCTCTTTTCTTGATCAAAACAATTTTGTGAATTTCTTAAAATGAACAGTATTTAGCTATGTACGACTCCTTCTTTTGTAGAAGGAAGCAGATACAAAGGAGAGATCTGTTTTTGATATTCCAATCTTCACGGAAGAGTTCCTGAATCATAGTAAAGGTAAGTTAAACTTTTGCAAGTCCTCCTCTTTGCTTTCCAAAGCTTTTGCCAGGTGCTGTCCAGCTGAGGAATCCTTGCACTCACCCATCTCAGCTCAAGTATTGACTTGGGTATAGCTGGCCAAGGTTTGTGATATTACCTTACCTCTCTATGAACTGCAGTACCTTACTATTGTACTGTAGCTGCAAACAGCAGTTTTTCCTGGCTTTGTCTTATGAAACTGTCCTTTCTGGAGAATGTTTCTGATATTTAAGCTTCACTTGCTGTTATTCCAGCGATTCCAAGCTGGATCCTGCTGTTCTATAGGATTAAGAACCTATCTCTTCAGAAATGACCTTGATGAGGGG